GGAACTAGTAGAGTGGAAAGACAACACCTGTCACTGAAAATAAAATTCCTAATTATTTTCCTAAAAAAATAATGTGTCTGTCTAAAAAGAAAAAATCTAAACTAGCAGCATTATTCAATACGATCAATTCAATTTTCAACATGGTGGCAAATACTATCCTTCACTTAAAAATAAGTTCTTCTTTCTTCCAAAGACAACAGGTTAAATCTTATCAATGTTTAATCAAAAGAAAAGAAAAGGAGCTAATTCTCAAGATGCAAAGAAATGAGATACTTACTGATATAGTAAGAGTTTCATTCTTGTGGTCAAAATTCATTTTTCCACAATAGGTCCGCTGAGATAGTAAGTTGTCAAAGTACAGTTTGCATCGTAAAGTCAAACACCTTAAAATAAAAAAAATTGAGCACATTAAAAAGCATATAAAGATAAAAAATTATATATTGCACAGGATCTAAGCATGTAAGAAAACCAGATGGAAATACGCAAAAATGTTGACATTGGTGCCCATTTAATGGTGGCGGGTTTTAGGTGACACTTTTCCCCTGTGTCTTTATATTTGTTTGTGTCCTTATATTTTCACCAGTTTGTTTACTTTCATGATAAACATCTATAAAATGAATAAAAGTGTCATCTCACATTTAATATATCCCATTATACCAGTCAGTACTTAGGAATGTATCAATAATTCAACTAATTAATGTAAGGCATTACCCTAATAGATAAGACAGCTGTCCTTGAGAGAATTAAACTCTAGTGGTGATATGATAAATGGGTAAACTGTGTATTCATTTGCCTGTCTCCTCCCAACTTCATAGCAGCAAAGAAGCTAAGGGCAATCTCTTAATCATCGTGCACCTAAAATGCCTTATACATTGCTTGGCACAACTTGAACTCCATCTTTCCTTTTCTATTTGTTAGATGGCATTCTACTCTAAGGAAGAATTTTTCCTTCTTCCTCAATTTTTTATTTACTTATCTACCTTTGTATTTGTCATGATGGAGTTGGAGATTCACATTCTATTAATTGGGTCCATTTTTATTTTATTTATATTATGCATTACTGTCCTTATTTATTGTGCTCAAATTGTCCCAGATTATGTCAAAGGGCACCCCTTCAAGCTGGCTCTTATGTCTTTTTATCAAGACTCCACATTTTTTTTTTTTTTTTTGAGCCCTTCGTTTCTTTCTGGCATGGCAAGAAGCTCATCTATACCTTTCCTGTCCAGCTCTAGAATCAGTCATTTCTCCATGTGGGGAAAACAAGATCCAGGTGGCAAGTCACTGGCTATTTTTCTTAACATCTTTGCTCCTTAATAAGACTAAGTTTTGTTTTGGAGGAAGTATGATTTTACTCTTTTCCTCCTATTTCCCTCCCTAAACTACATACATTCCCATACTAGAAAACATTGACAGCCTGAGATTCCTTTTGCTGCCACGGCAACCACTGCTAGCTGGTTGTCAGAATTTTCTGTTAACTTTCCTATCTTTCAATACTTATATGTATTCTTCAATTGCTTCTATTTATGGGATGTCTAAAAGAGACTGTTATCATAAAACATTCTCCAGAGTAAAGACACAAATGATTTAAAAAATTTGATAATTTTTATTCTCCTCCTAAGATTGGGTAAACTATAAAACACGCCAGTGGTAAAGAATCATATCAAGGTAATACACGCATACCTCAAAAATATTG